CCAGTGCCAAATTGACTTCAGTGCTGTCTGTGTAGGACAGCAGGTAACCCTGCCCAGCGTTTCCTCTGTGCTAACGAATGTTACAGCCCCAGTCATTGTGTCCAAGCAGCTACTGTGCCATATCTGCTCCTAACTTATCTAACTTCTTCTTAAGCTACTCTGAGTGGAGTTGAGATGGTTCTTTAAAACACAATTACGTAGTGTAGTTAAGGACAGGACCCTCCTTCCCTGATTTTTTTTTTTATTTTTTTTTTTTAAGCTGTATAACTGAAACTCTGTTCCAGCACCCATCTTCTCTGCCCACTTCAACTGTGGCTTCTTTGAATCCTGTGCAACACGCTCAGAATCATTTTGCTGGTCTTTGCAGGCTGACTTGACTGATGCTCCCGCCAGCTGCAGACTCTGTATCTTCTCACGAAGGTCTGAAGTGAATTTGTGCAGTGAGGAAATCGCAGGCACAGATTGTGATTCTTCACGTGTGAATTTCGATTTCCAGTAAAGCCTATTCCTTTGTTATTGCATAGTACAAAGCCTGCTCAGCACCAGGGAGGGGCAGAGCAGGGAATTGCTCTTGAGTAATTTCACTAGGACACGCTGGAGACTTGACATGCTCTTGAAACAGAGAAGATGAGTTCACAGATTTTTCTACGATGCTGAGGATTGTCTTGCATGTTGGCAGTGTAGGCTAGCTTGCCTGCCTTGGTGTCTTTAAATAGGGGACGATAATATGATGTATTCTTAGAATACAGTAAATGCACGATAGTTTTTCTTAGCTTCAGAAATTCTGGGCAAAGTGCAGCATTTCCTCAGAAGCAGAACTGCAGTGCCAGCTTGTTAAAACACGCAGCGTATTGGCGGGACTAGGTTGTGAGCATATTTGCCTGCTTTGGAAACAGTTTAAGACAGTATTTCCTGAGCAGGCTGCTTCTCTCAGCATCCTGCTGCCTAATGTATCAACGACTCCAAGGAGAGCAGAGCTCATGTCACGGGCAAAAAGGATTCTGAAAGATGAAGCTAGGATTTGATACTTAATTTGTTTCGGATGGCATTTCTATAGAGGGAAAAATACTGATTTTATTATGACCATAAAATTCTGCAGCTGTAAAAATGTGAGATGTGGTTGGTTTGTTTTTTTTTTTTTTTTCCTTTAGCATATAATATGTGCCCACATTGGCTGAATATAGGAGCCCAGTGCAGTTTGACATCTACCTGAGTTTATGCAGCCTGTGAGATAAGCCCTGCTAAGTCAGTGACTTCCATGCATTGTCAGGTCTGTTTAGCAAGCCTATTTCAGGACTGAGGGGTTTGGGTGTTTTTAAATTTAAAATTCAATATATTCAATACCAATAAGAATTTAATCAAGAAAGAAATTAGTCATAGTAATTAAATGATGAATGTGCTGGATGCAGCTGGAATGTCAGCAGCAGTGTCCAGACCAATTTTAGCAGTTTTCTTGAAGCAAGAGTGACCATCCAGTTGTCTAGCATGTGTTTCTTTAAAACATATTCCTTAGTTTTTCATTGCCTTATTATTGCTTTCTGATTATGGCCAGTGGGTTTGAGTAATATTGCTTGTGTATTTTAACCATAATGATTTATTCTCAAATCAGAGGGAATATATGAAGGAGGAAGTGGAGGAGTGTGCTGAAGATGAGGCGACTGAATCGGAAGAAGACCTTGAATTTGATGAAAGAATTGGATGCCTTTCCAAAGGTTCCTGAAAGCTATGTGGAGACTTCAGTGAGCGGAGGCACAGGTAGGCCTTATTGAGATGCTGACATTGATTCATGTTGGCTCTTAGCTCAGTCTACCATGCTCTGGGAGTAGAAGCTTCAACAGGAGGAAGACAGGCATCTGTGTTCATTTGAAACTAGCCAAAATTGCCTAGTTTCCTTGATTTTTTTTTTTTTTTTTTTTTTTTTTTTTTTTTTTTGTGGGTCCACTGCCAGATGGGGCAGGAACTTGATGACAATGGACACAGAAAAGGCGAAGGTACTTGATGATGCTTTCTTCACTTTTTTTTTTTTTTTTTTTTTTTTTTTTTTTTTTTTTTTTTTGGTGAGCCGACAGAGCTTCCTTCAAGTAAAGGCATAGTATCTTATCCAAATAGATGCATTCATCACTCACCTCAAGGGAAATTTTTGTGTAAAGCAGATGAGACTCAAACCAATGTAAGGTTCACTGTAAAAACTAACCAATTACAACCGGAAGTGCCTGTGCCAAGGCCGTAATAACACTTTCTCATTTCTTGTCTCATTAAGCCCTTTTCTCTTTGCCTGGTTTCTATGTGAGATGGTGCTAGCACGGGCTGAAATGCAGATTGAATTCAGATCTGTGCTTTCATAAAAGAGGAAAAACCTTCTCCAGAGGTGTCTAAGAGCTGGCTAAGTTAAGCATCAGGATGGAGAGTAACTTTGTAAAGCCTTTTGTCTTGAAGGTGTAGTTGATCCTAAGAGAAGGAAAGCCCTTTGAAGAACTAAACACTTTACTCCTTGTAGTCACTTGTACCATCCTTGTAGTCACTTGAGCTTCTCTCAAAAAGCTGTAGCTGGAGGAAGTACCTTTTCTATATGTATCTGAACAGAAAATTGTGCCTGTAAGTTGGGTTGGGTTAGAGGTAACCTGATCTGGAAATAGTGACTTCATCTATTGGAATTGTTTGTGGTCAGATAGGAAAATGCTAGCAGTTACTTTGAAATGGAGGACAAAAGTCTCTCTCATGTGTGATTATGTCTGAAACTCACTTGAATGAAAAGTACAAGAAGCAATTGCAATCTACAGATAAGCCTCTGAAGTAATGACTCCGCTTGTGTAGAAGTAAATATCACAGGGATCTGTATTACTTTGCTATCTTTCCTGAATTGTGCTGTTAATAATTAAAGGATTATTGTATATAAAATGATCTTGGAGAGCTGATTAAATAAGTTTTTGCTAATGTTAGTCCCAGTTCCAGAGAAAGCAAATGAGTCGTTTTTATGTTGTAATTCATAGAAAAAATAATAAATACTTCAGAAACTTCTTTTTTGTAGTATAGCCCTATCCTTTATGAGAACTTCATTTTGGTGAACAGCGCCTTGAAGGTTTCTGAATACCAGAAGTTATTTTAACATTCTTTGGTTTATCCCAGTAACCTTATAAATGACAATACAGGATTGTCTTATTCTATGTCATTTTAAAATTTTAATATAGTATTCCCATTTCATTTAGGATTAAAGTGCCAGGCTTGCTTTCTGATGTGACAGAGTCTTGGTATGTTTTGCATCCCTATTCTCAGGCTTTCAGTGCCTAAAACCCATTGGAGAAGAAGTACCGGTATCTCAAACAAGCTGAGACTCTAGCTCTGGGGCTGGGAGAGCATTCAGAAAAGAGGATCTGTCTTTGGAAATTCTACAAGACTTCATTTTCTTGTTCAGATCCACATATAACTTTGCTCAGATTTACCCAAAAGCAGCTACAGCTGTAATTGTTTATTCGTGTTTGGGTAGACAGTATGGCTCCAGCTTTCCTATTGCATTGCTGGGGTGCGTGTGACCTACTGGGGTCCTAAAGGAAATTGCTAGCCAAAATAATTAACTAATTAGTGCATCTGCTTTCACACTATGCTTTGACATGGAGGTCTTCATATATGCGATCGTTACATGGCTTCAGCTGAAAGCTGGGATTTGAAATGGTGTTGATCAATGCAACAGCCAGTGCTGCAGCTGCTGTTTCTTTTCTGATCCTGTAGGACAGTGCCTTCATGTCCCTGCTGCCATCCTGGGCTGTAGACCACTCTGTGGGGAATTGAAGCCTACCAACAATGGGCTTGTTTTTTTTCAAGTTGCACTTCACAGACTCCATAGAAATAGTCCACAGAATGCAGGTGGAAAACATGTACGGTCAATAAACTGTAAAAATCACTACCGTGCCCTGTAACGGAAGGGTCTTTTCAACTTAACAAAGCCAAGATTTTTGCCCCCCAAAAGGGATGTAGCTGGTGCTTCTATGCTTCTGCTCCTATGTTTCTGACTGTGTGCAGCAGGATGATCTTCCCTTTGCATTGAACAACTTTGCAAGTGTGACGCATAGGCTGCTTTGGAGATAAGTGAGGCACATATACCATTAAAATATACCAATTAGTTTTCTTCCTAAAAGTGATTTCAATCCAGTTCTTCACTTATTTAGCTGGTGGTAGAAGGGATGGCTGTGTGTTGCTTATCACCAGAGGGAGAATTGTTTGAAATATTGGGGTGGGAGTCCTGGCTGTGCTTATATACTTGTGTATTTATATACACAAGTAATATAATAAGGGCACCTTTTTTTAAGTGGACAGTGCATATAATGTGTATAATCATAGAATGGTTTGGGTTGGAAGGGACCTTAAAGGTCATCTAGTTCCAACCCCCCTGCCAAGGGCAGGGACACCTTCCCCTAAACCAGGTTGCTCAAACCCCCATCCGACCCGGCCTTGAACACCTCCAAGGATGGGACATGTTATTTCTCACCTGCTACATTCTTGGCTCTAAAACTAGATATAAAAAGAGATTGTTATAAAAACTTAAGTTGTAGACAAGTATAGGCTTAAAGGGACTTCAAGGTGCACCTTCTCCTTTCGTGCTTGGATTTAGGATTGAGTTTGCCTAGACCTTCCTTGACAGTGATTTGTAGGCATTTTGTTTTATATGTGGAGGAGGATCTAGCCTGTTCTTAAATCTTCTGTTTAGGGATTTCACAACTTCCCCATCCTTCTAGTATTTGACTGTACTTGATGTTTAAAGTTCATTCTTGATGCAAAGATAGGACTTACTCTTTTCCCCTCCTATATAGAAGCAAATACTGTAGATATGGAAACATTTTTCTAAGAGCAGCTTATGGATTTGTAAATCAAAGATACCAGTATTGCACTGGTAACACTTGGATTCTAGAATGTTAGAATTTTGTTCTGCTTATGTTTTCGAATAATATTTCTCACAATCTAAACCTTTTTTGTTTTTTTTTTTTTTTTCTCTTTTGACTGCTTAGTTTCTCTCATAGCATTTACAACGATAGCTTTCCTGACTGTAATGGAGTTCACGGTGTATCGGGACACATGGATGAAATATGAATATGAAGTAGACAAGGATTTTACTAGGTAAGTTTTATCCATTAGAATTCCTTTTAAAAACTTAAGTTACCCATATTTCAGGGAAGAATTGATTTAAAATGTTCATGTGACTTGCAAGCAATTTATAATTGAAATTAAAAATGAAATATTAAAGGGACTTGATTTTTCTTCTGTTGATTTTTGTTTTTTCCTGGAACCTATGAAGATGAGAAATAGAGATTTCTGCAATGAAGACATCAAAATAGTGTAGGTTTGGTGGAGTCCCCTGAGGAATTATTTGCTAACTATTCAGAGGATGTTGTGATACGTACATCAGCTTGTAATTATATTATGATATGTAAATCAGTGGGTTTACATCAGCTCGGTTAACCCACAAGATTCACCAGATGCTCACTCTAGCTTATACAGTTACTGTATTGCCACTACGCTTTATTGTGTTGAAGGTGGACCTTAAGCACTCAGAACTTTGACTATGTTATCTAGAAACTGCTACTGATCTTGTCTCTAGTTCCAGCCTCCAAGATTGGCTGAAGGTACATTTGTGGTTGGTTTCATGTGCTTGTCTGGACTGCATTTGCCCTTCTTCCTGAGGTGACCAGGCACCCATGAGTCCATGTGAAGTTGATGGAGATTTTTGTGCACAGAACATCTTTAAATATCACATGTCTGGAACTGGAACAACTTTAAAAGCTGTTTGACTAGTTGCTGTGGTAACAAGCTAAAGATACGTCTATTAATTAGATGTCTTGTACGTCGGAAATACCAAAGATTTCTGTAATGAAAAAATAAATACCAGAAATTTAAGCGAGATGCATCAAAACCCCAGGTTAAGGTAAATCCATTCAGACAGACACACATTTAGGCCTTTGCTAAAGTAGGTTCTTTCCCTACTGAAGCTATTGCACGGGAAGGATAGTCTAGTGGTTAAGAGACTATTATGGGACTTGGGAGACATCCTGCAGCCTGTGGTTCTATGACAGTTTAAACTGATGGAGATTGTTACTGCTTTAATTGTTTTTCTTCTGTCTGCTGACTGTGTCTGATCCCCACTTGAGCCAGTGTTGAATCCCTTGCTTATGTGATTTGTTTGTTGTCAGCTGAGTTCCCCAAAGAATCTCCCTGGAGATGATAGGACCATGTGACTATAGTGAGGGGATTTATTTGTTACAGTTTAAATGACTTTTGTGAAACTAACATGAAAACCAATAGGAAGTGCCCGGGATATTGGGGAATGCCACACAACCAGACTTTTGGTGTGATGGATTTTTTTGAGGCATGGGGCTTGGTTTTTTTCCCCTGATGGGAAGAACTGTGTTTTACCGCCCCTTGTTATGGAAACATTCAGGATAAAGATCTTAACAAAAAAGGCATTTTGCTATTATAATATAGAAGCATTTTTGAGAAAAGAGCTTTTTCCAGAAGCAGTGCTACCAAAACCGACTGTCTTTTTCTGGAACCTGTTTTAGCAGCTTCTCAGCCCAATCCTGAGTATCACTGTCCCAAGGAATTCTGATGAGGATTGGAAATACTGTGGCCTGTCTTAAGGACAAAACAGGAGGAAGGTGCTCAAATATTCACTCAGTATTAGATTTGTAACTCCTACATTGTCCTGATTCACTGCTTTCTGTGGAATTTATTGCATTGTTGTAGTTGTGTGGAAAAAAAGTTTGTAAAATATTGAAAACTATATTTTTAGTAAGACAAGCTCTTTGGCCAATAATATTTCCAGTAAATCTGTTAGGAGTTTCATAGTAAAATTCAACAGGAAAATCTGATGCTTTAACTCCTAAATTACAAGTGATCATCAGTGCTTTAATAATTAGAAGTCCATCTTTGTTCACTCAGATTTTAAACGGCTTAAGTTTATATTTGTTGGTGTAAATTTTGTTATTTGACTGTGCTTCTGCGAGTAATCTGAGAATTTTAGTAATATATCTCTTGATACTTGTACTCAATGTTACTTACTATCCTTACTGCCTCTTTTCCTTTTTTTTTCTTTTCAGTAAGTTAAGAATCAATATTGATATTACAGTTGCCATGAGGTGTCAATGTAAGTATTGCAGCAGTGAAAGTTTTGAAACATTGTAAAAGCTCTTCAGAACATGCATTTACTTGCAATATAGTTGGGTGTTGTTAAAAATACTCTAACAGTGAGATGTCTTCTGATCTTGATGGTATGTAGTGGCATATGACTCACTGAAAGAATTGGTAGGAGATGTGAAGAGAAGTATTTATGTCATCTCATTCACATCTCAGAACTTAGTTTTGTCTGTCAGCACAAATGGGATCTGTTGTTCCACTCTCTCTCTAGCTGGAATATTCTAAAACCGCATTGTGAGACACAGCTCAGCAGTAGGAATTCATCACAACTTTTATTTATTTATGAACTTGGCAAATATTAATCTGGTCTTTTGTTGAACAATACTAGAACCATCAGGTAATTTCATCTTTCTGATGAACATATGGGTGCTTTCCCTTTTAAAGATGATGCTTACTATTCTTTTGACATAATTTAGGTAATGAACCATTATTTGTATGGACTGAATTTGGTTGTCCTGGACTGAGAGAGAAAATACTACTTCTACCAGGAATGCAAGCAAATCTTCAAGACTTACTTTTTTGGCTAGGTTAAACCTTACAAAAATTGTATGGTATATCAATACCATACAATTTGTTTTTGTCTCACAAGTATTAACTCACAAGTCATTCCTTCTTACTCTTTAAATTTATTTTAATTTTTTTCAATTACTTTCCAGTTAGAATAAAAAATTTGAATTTTTTTTTTTTTTTTTTTAAACTCAGTTATAACCACCTGATCATAATTAAGTATTTTGCAAACTGATTCTGAGACAAACAGAATTTTTCCTCTGTTGCATCCAACCACAAATAGGAACCCATCTGCAGCCTGAAAATAGAAAGATACTGTCTTTAGAAACATACAATTAATATATAAAATGAATATCGATGACTACAAGGAAGCACACTTTTAAACCTGATTTTTAAAATTAAATAAGTTATAAATCACACCAAAGAGCAATTAAGATTAAAAGGACCAAATCAGACCTTCAACTACAGACAATAAAGTTTCTTAAACACAGCTTTGGGCAAACAGGTGGCCAAAAAAAAAAAATCCAGTTTGAAAAAAAAATTTTAATTTTTTTTTTTTTTTTTTTTGTAATTTGAGAAATAAACAAGACTTTATCCTCTGTTTTGACAAGTCTTGGTTTGGATTCACTGCTTAAGAAACAGGGAAAAATACTTATGCATAGCAGATCCTAGATGCTTGTGTGTGTTGTTCATGCAATATCTCTAAAGGTGTTACATCAATGAGAAAATATTGCAAACCTGAAAATTTGGTTTCTGGTCACTGTGCATCAGTTGATAGTCTGATATGAGAGGTTGAAAAGTAGGATGCTGTGGTTTCCCCCTTCCTCCCAGCAATCTGCTTCTTGCCAGATTTATTTTTCTTTTGGTTTGGACTTAGTTAACGAGGAACAGTAATTTATAGTGAAAGTTTGCTACTGTACTGTGAAACTTCATTTCAGCTTTAACTTTTTTTTTGTTTCTTTATGATCATCTGTCTGACTCTTAATATCTTTCTTCCTGTTTAAAATAGATGTGGGGGCTGATGTTCTGGATTTAGCAGAAACAATGGTTGCCTCTGCAGATGGGCTAATCTATGAACCAGTAAGTTGATTCTTACCTTTTTATTTCAAAGTGGAACACTGCTAGGCTGGTTTGCTTGCTTGTGTTTTTTCCCCACAGCTGGGCTGCACAGAACCTCCCCAAGTATTGTCTGATGCTTGAGTGGGGTCTGCAGTGCTTGCCCCAGGAATCTGCTAGGCAAAAAAGCCAGCACTGGGATTTCTGTGTGTTCACCCTCTGAAAATACAGCAGATTTGAATACAGCAGACTCCCAGATCAGTCCTTCTTAACAAGGTAGTGATTTCTACAGCTAGTTATTTTTACATGTGCGAATTCTAGGGATAAGAGCTAACAGTATTCGATCTGGAAGGAAAACTATCAGAGCTCTCATAAAAAGAGAATTGATGTAATTGCTTTTTAACTAGAAGAATACTGTGATTCTCAAAAGGGGTAGAAAGTTACTGTGATATCTTTATAATGTTGAATGGCATTACAGATCGTAAATTGGGTTAGTACCCTTTTAATTTCTGCATTGTGAACTGAAGGCTCTGGAACTGTGTCAGCCTATGTTCTTAAAGTGGTTTTGATGGCATAGTACAATAAGCTTTGAAGTAATTATTCTGTAGGAAAGTAATTTATCATTTACAGAAAGCCTATTAGAGAATGTAACTCCCTGCTGTAATTATTGCATTCTCTAATAACTGAACCATATTCCAAATTATAACAGTTTTGTCGAAATTCCTACTTGTGTGTGAGCAGGAGGGGGTGGCTGAATGAACAACGTGCTTGGGAAGGAGCTTGGTTTTTTTGTGTTTGTTCTCCTTGGAACATTTTCTCTTTTGTCTGGACAGTCATCTCTGTGCTGCTATAGCTGCTGCTGCTAGTGGTTGCCCCAATTATTATAATCCTAGAAAGAGGAAACTTTTTGTACTTGATCTCTTTGAGCTATAGCTCTAGATAGGTTTGAGCATTAACTGCAGTTGAATTTACTGTCTGGAGTACATCGGTGTTAACGATACATAGATTTGAATTCCATGCACAGATGTCACTGGTGATATTATTGTACTGGTTGAAGTCTAGTAGATCTGGTAGCTTGTCTTAAAGAAGTGCTCAGTGTAGGCTGACCCTAGAAATAAACAATCTGCACCTGGACCCTTGTTTTCAAAGATTACTCCTCTGCCTGTTTCATTCCTATTTGCATTAAGACCATGTACGTCAGTTATATCGCTTAGAAATAAATGGCCAGTCACTGCTTCTTCTAGAGAGTGTTTGTCAAAGGCTAGAGGGGCAGAGACTGCTGACTTGAGTTATGAGAGCTTTAGGAAAAGATGCTAAACTTATAAATGCAAACAAGTGAGTAATTCTGGGGGAAGGAGGACAGAAATTCCCATACTTGAACACTGAATGTATTATTTAAAATGCAAAGTAATTTCATAAACTGCAGTATGTGCTACCAAGTGTGAAGTTGATTGTAACTCCCCACCCCTTCCCACACCCCAGTTCTCTTCTGGCTTTTGTGGATGGGACTTTATGGTTCCTGCATGTTTTATTGGATGTGTTCTTTTTGTTTCAGGTAGTGTTTGATCTCAGCCCACAACAAAAAGAATGGCAAAGGTAAAGTACTGAGATGCATGCCTATGGTTTGTATTATTTGTACTGGAAGTGGCTTTGAGGTACACCAGAGTCATGTGACAGAGCTTTGTTTTGGGTCTAACAGCCCTTGCTTGTAACTTGGGAGTGCAAATCTGTGAAAAGATATTACTGTACTTTGCTTTCCATATGATTTGAGATCTCCGTTATGTAAAAAAAATTGGCTTTGGACTTATTTGTGGAATCGGGTCATGCACTTGCAAGTCGAGATGTATGGACTCACTCAACTTGTTTCCAAACTAATGCTTGGTAGCATGAGTTTTAATTACAGGTTGGGGCGTGTAACGCAGATAGCTGGGTATCTAAATGTCAAAGCTGAACCATAGTGACACGTTCTTGTGAAAGCAAATGAGTTTGTCTTTCATATAACTTCATATAATTGACACGCTGTTTATCGTTTAAACTGGAATAGCTTGGTAATGTGTGTGATTGCTGCACTAATAATCTTGTAACAGAACCTGAAGCTTATGTGGGAGTCTGGCTAGTTTTGGCGTTTTGGTAACGGACTGCTGTGAGCACCAGGGCTTTAAGCTCTGTATAAAATACCATTCTCAAAGTTTATTGCAACGCTTTAATACTGACATGAACCTTACTAACTTCTTGATTTATAACCTGCAACTGAAGCTGATAGTTAATTGTGAAGTTATTTTTTGTTTTCCTGTTGCATGCTTTCACACTTGTCTATGTAATCTTTAGGATGCTGCAGGTAATTCAGAGTAGGCTGCAGGAAGAACACTCTCTTCAAGATGTGATATTCAAAAGTGCTTTTAAAAGTGCTTCTACAGCACTGCCGCCACGGTAAGAAAAAGTCAGGTATTGTGTTGTCATTCCTCTCTCCCCACCCTATTTAATTAAACTTCACATTTTATTGTGGTTATGATTTTTTTTTTCCCAGAAGATAAGGTTGTAAGAAAAGACAACCTTACTGCTTTTTATTATATTTTGAAATAGTGTGCTCAATACTCGCTTTGGAGAGCTGTAGTTCTATGAAAATCTCTGGGGTTTCCAACCTGGAGAAGGTTTCAAGGTTTTGTATATGTATTTATATGTGTATATGTATGCATAATGCAGCCACACACATAGATCTATACCTACAACCTTTTAGTCCATTTTATCTGATGCTTCCTTTTTAATGTGAATTAGTAATGCCAAAGCAATAAGAAATAAAAGTCTTTTTTTAATGAAAGAATATCTTCCTGTCTAGCAACTTTTAAAAAAACTCCCGTGACTTAATACTTCATGGTTTTAAAAGAACCAACCTTTGAATAAAAATGTGTTTTGTTAGTAAATGCCCTGGTCTAAGATAGCACTGTTCAAATTGCATGGAAAGACCTTGCTCTTTACACTTGATTCCACTGCCCACAAAATGTGGAGAGACTAATGCGTGGAAGGCTTGGTCTGCCTGAATCTAGATGCTATCTGACTTTTTTTTTTTTTCCTCCCCAGGGGAAAACACTTTCTACTTGAAAGCTGAAATTCTTTTCCCCTTAAAAGCAAACAAAAAAACCCCACACAAACTAGCCATAAATAAAACAAAACAAACACCAAAAACACTGTATGCGCTTTCTGTGTTGTAATCTCCTTCTTTGAGGACTAAATGCATCCTTTCTTCCTAAGGCAAGGCTAAAGAGGGCTGAAAAAATATTTTTTTCTTAGTTGATGTCTTCGAAGTCCTTAGGTCCTTCTGTGCCTCTATGATACTTGTTAGTGCAATATTTGAGGTGTTATTTATGCTTGGTATGTGTTTAAGCAGCAGATTTATGAACATGTTCTGAGTTGTGGACATCCCAAGAAGTGTGGAAAGAGGAAGGTTCCACGAAAAATAAATGTTGAAAGCTGTTCTTGCTACAATATTGTTAACGGGTCTAATATATTTTGTGATGTTCAGTGTAGCGTTAAAACTTCCCCAACAAACCATTTTTGGTAGAAGTAATTGGAAAAAAAATCCCCAGGGCAGCAAGATACGCTTATGTTTTCTGTTCACATGTTGAGGTATCATGAGTTAGCTTTGTAGGCCAGCTCTCTGTAGTACGAACAAAAGCTTATTGGTTTCAGCAGGCTGACTTTTACTAGATTCCTTCCCTCTCACCATCCCTGCTATAATTCTGGAAGAATACAATGAGGAGAGGTAGATGATAATGCTATATCTTTGTGCTAGGAAAAAGAAATCTAACTGTACTGCTGTTATTTCTGTTAGTGAATGTTCTCAAGTACTTCTTATGTTTTTTTTTTATTTATACAGGGAAGATAATTCATTACAGTCTCCAGACGCGTGCAGAATTCATGGTCATCTCTATGTCAATAAAGTGGCAGGGAACTTTCACATAACTGTGGGCAAGTATGTTATTTTCAGAAACTGAACAGAATACACAAAAAGACTTCTACGTTATATGTAGTGCATGCATGTATATGTCTGTGTATGTTTTTACGCTTTTAAATTAATGACTGGTTTTTATTAACCATCCCATACACAAGCATCTTTTCTTGCCCAGTTAAAAACAAATTTCTTCATAAGTTACTGAAACAATGCAGTGCATTATTGTATGCAATGTAGTGGTTATGAATTCCAGTGTCTTACGGGGTGAAAACTCTTGAAAATAGGTCCCCTGTAAGTGTATGGTGTGGAGGGGACCACTTGTACTTGCCTCTGTTCTTTGGGCCTGTCCAAACTTCTCCTTCCTGTTAGTACAGAGGTCACTTGCAGGGATGAAGTGCAGATCTGTGCTGTTTCTGTGCTGAGATAACATAGGGGTAGAGCCGTAGTTAGGGAGCTAAATGCCACTTCCTCTTGATTTGAGGAGAGACTTTCTGCTACACTTCAGCAATGGTATTGGCTTATATACGCTGCATATGAACTTGTATTCACCTTTCTCTGTGTTCTACAGCTCTGCTGTCCTCACTTACCTTCTTGCCACCTCTGTCACCAGAGATCCTAGCATGCAGTCTATACTCTCCAATTTATCCACATGTAATTCCAGCTGCTGTCTTTGTGGGGATATTTCTCCAAATGCCATTCTGTCTGGTCTTGTACCACCTCTGTGATTTGCCCCTGGATGTCCAACTTCTTAAGCCCTTTTCAGAGCTGATGATCTCAGCCTTTCATCTGTACTGCCATCACTTCTCTCCTCCTGTCTTTAGTTCTGCAACCCTGAATAATCTTTTGCTTTTCTTTGCTTCCTTTTGCTCATCATTATGTTTGTAATTCTGTTAAGTTGCTCTCTCTCTTCTTGTATATTTTTTTAATAGCTTTTCTCACTGCCAGCCTTTGTATTTTATTGCCTTGTTATTTATTGTAGTCCTACCTTGACTGATCTGGTTGTCTTTTGCCACCTTTTTTTTGTCCAAAACTTACATGTATTTATTAATGATTTAACTCAAACTAAGTAGGGAAACTTATGAGCATTATTGGTGGAACTGGTAGGGATGAAATGTGGCTGGGAGACTATTTTACTTTCCAGACATTGTTCCACTCTTCCCATCCCTCTTTGCCCTGTTACCAGACTCTGTATCGTTCTTTCTTTGCAGGTCTACAAACAGGAGTCCAGACCTGAAGTTAACTTGTTTAGTCAGGGAGCAAATACAGAGCGTAGTTAACTTGCTTAGTCATAGAACAAGTGAAGTTTTCATTAATCACTTGAACAGTTCTGCAGCTTTTCATAGAATCATAGAATGGTTAGAGTTGGAAGGGACCTTAAAGATCATCAAGTTCCAGCCCCCCTGCCCTGGGCAGGGACACCTACTACTAGACCAGGTTGTTCAAAGTCCCATCCAGCCTGGTCTTGAACATTTCCAGGGATGGGTCACCCACAGCTTCTCTGGGTAGCTCTTGGTGGCTCTTCTAGTAGCCTGGTGACTCTGCAAATTTGATATTTCTAAAAATACATGACACTAATTTTGTGTACGAGGGTTTTCATGAGTCTAATGTTTCATGTACCTTGTCATTCAGTCTCTCTGTACTTGGCAGTAATAAAAATGTAATTAATTTTTAAAATATATATAGATGCACACAATTTATGAAGTATTTATTGAAATAGAGGGGGAGAGGTATTTTTTCTACACAGTCCTGTTTAGGAAAACTGTCTTTTGTGTGGATTCATTAAACAAATTTTTCATAAAACGTATCTTGCTTTCTTCAGGGCAATACCACACCCTCGAGGCCATGCACACTTGGCAGCCCTTGTAAGCCACGAGTGTAAGTTCTTTCTATCATCTCCATACAAATGGGTATCATTTCATTCAGACTGCCGTCTCCTAATTCATATGTTAACATAGGTTGCTGTTGTAAAGGTGTTGTAGCTGAATAATTGCATTGTGGAAGAAAGTGAAGAATGTTCTTTGCAATGTTATTACTCAGTAGTGACTTACTTTCATATGTTTAACACTATTAATGTTCTCTTTAGGTTGCTTCTACAGTAATGATATCGGGAATCTCAGATGTATTTTATTGTAACAGAGATACCATATGTAATTCCTGTAGTTCAGTCCAAAGAACCTATTTCCTGCAAAAATCTGCTTTTATAAGGTTAAAAATTTCTGAACTTTGTCCTTAGAAACTTCATTTTTAGGTTGTGAGTCTCAATACTAAATGTGTGTTGCTGCCGTACTTAGTGTGAGGCAAGAGTGATGTACTGTGAAAAATGAACTTGGTTAAATCTCCAAATGTCTGCCCATGAATTTATGTCAACACAAATGTATAATATTACAGAGTTTATACCTGTGCAAAATTGGACAGTGTACTAACGTGGTGGTTGCCTTATGCTTCCTCTGTATATTTCATTTATGAAATGTTCTTTTTAATACTGTTACGGTTCAGGTTCTTGTATGTAGAATAACTTTAGTATTTAGCCAACTAGAAGTTTCCTGTCATGAAATTTTAACTCTTGTCAACTCCAGGGTTGATTCAGATGGAGTTAGAGTTTGTTTTATAAGTTCTTCTCTAGAGAAACTGAATTTCTCATAGTTTAAAAATGTTGTTTCATTCCTGTGTTGTCTTTCAGCCTATAACTTCTCTCATAGAATAGATCATTTGTCATTTGGAGAGCTTATTCCAGGGATTATTAATCCTTTGGATGGAACAGAAAAAATAGCATCAGATCGTAAGTGTTGTGTGTTTAAAAAAGCATCTTGTTTTCTGTATTTTTCCAATAATTACATCTAAAATATTATGAATGTTGTGATGTACAAACAATATGTCCTGCTGAATTTGGTAGCAAGCAATGCCCTGTTCAGTCATCTGCATGGCATCATAAATGGGCGTTTTCTTTTCAATGTCAGTGTTGCTGTACTTTGCTGTTTCAGTGAAGTTCATTTGCAGTTTCTTCTGGATCTGTGTTACAGTGAAGTTACAGCATGTCTGAACAGATTGCAAAGGGTTTTGCAGCAGTTTATGCTGCAGGGGGATTCATGGATCTGATTGTTGTCATAAGGGGCAAAATAAGTCTGATTTGCTTTTTAAAAAGTAGCACCAGGAGTAATGGGTTCTATTGCTGTATTTGGTCTGTCCCTTCCGTGGTGTATTTTGTGAGGTTACCACAGGAAGGGTTTGTGTATCACTTTGTTTCCTCATGTATGAATAAAGGAGTGTAGTAAAGTAACCAGCTTTACTGAGCTCCCTACACCTCATCCTCTGGATTGCGTTCCCCGTGAGGGTGATCCTCAGAACCTTGTCTCAAAGTCGGTCTGTCCGTCCAGCCAGAAGGGTGTAGGGTTGTTGAAACAAATTGTTTCAGTCTCTCAGTGTGTTTTCTCTTAGGGAATTGCACAAAGACAGAGCAATGATAAATACGTAAGCACGCTGATTGCTCTGGAAGAATTCCCTAGAATTCTCTGTCGAATTAAGAGAAAAACTGTAACCAGTTTAGAAGGACTTCCAGCATCGTATAGACATCATATAGACAAATCTATCATATAGACATCATATAGACAAATCTATCATATAGACAATTCGATGGCTAAAATCTATTCCAACCACTGTCAAGATGTATATATCATGCAAAATGTGACACTGTGAAACTTGTTTAATTCTAGTGTTTAATTTCTAGTGGAAAACACTATCTATGCATTTCATTTGAAGCTTTGAGTGACATGACCTTAATGAATCTTTTCATTACATAGATCGAATGTTAATTTCCTCGAGTACAAATGTGACATAGGCCTTGCCCATGGAAACTGACTTTGTTGATGCAGGTGGTGCTGAAGTAGTCTTGGCAGTGCTGAGACTCCTTGAAGAATATCCCTAGTGTAAATGGCTTAGTGGATTAATTATTTTAAATATTATTTGTTTAATTTATTTGTAAGTGTCTCAGATGGTCTTTCACTCTATATATAATTCAACAATGAGATTTGTTTTCTTCTAGACAACCAGATGTTCCAATATTTTATCACAATTGTGCCAACCAAACTCCATACATACAAAATTTCAGCAGAAACTCACCAGTTTTCGGTGACAGAAAGGGTAAGTAGAAGTGAGAGAAAACCAAACAGAGAAAAATCTAACAGCAATTGTTCTTAACAAAAGCTCAAGTGTGAAAACAGAGACTTACTTGTACCATGGTTTTGAGACTCTCTGTGGAAGATGCACTAGGTTTATCTAGTCAATAATGTAATACTGACAGTAAAATAGATACATATGCTTGGTGACACGTGCTGATTTCTTGCATTAGTGTTTTGCATCTGTAGATCTGGAGCATGATATTAGAATTGGTGATAGATCCAGTCATTTCCACTTCACTGGATGCTAACGGTGGTGGTGGTGAAACCCTGTAAATTTTGGGTCCGTAATCTTGTTTGTAGCTTTACAAAGATTTGATCCACCTTTAGCTTTTATCCCTGTGGGAAGCAAACCAAAAAACACAGCTCCCTTGAACATCATGAACTTGATTGTGGAGTGGTAGAAATGGACACAAAGGTAGTTTGTATGAAAAACGAATCCCACAACAAGCTCCTCTGTCTCTCAGCTGTCTTGTTTAACCTTTGTTGAACCACCAGCTTCAATTACTGTCCAGATAGAGAGCTTCCACTTCTGGCCTTGGAGAGGCTTTTCATTTTGAATCCATAAAGAAAGCAGTTATTGCAGCATAGTACATAGGCAAATCATAAAGTACTAATTTTAAAGACCGCTGTAAATAAGGAAAGGGCCTTATGTGTACCAGTTACATGTCTCTCTTCCAGACACTGAACTCTGTTTTGGTCTTTTATTCAAAAGTCAAATAAAAAAATCTTTGCAAAAAGTTTAATTCAAAATGACAGATAAAGTGAGAGGTAACAGGGACGCCTTGGGATGAAAAAACACAGAGAGATTAGGTTGACAGTTCACTGTAATACAGTTTGTGGTCTTCTCCAAGGGAGAAAAATCTTTATTTCCTCCCGATTCCATGCTGTGCTTCTGAAAAATACACAGCTAGAGGAAGTAGAAGAGAGGTGATGTCTTAGGGGTCAATTTGGGACATACAGATTGCTGAAGGGAAAGATTGGCTCTAAAACTCACAAAAGCTCAAGCAAAGAGAGGAATGAAGAGGAATTTCATAATGCAATATACTCCCATCTCCTGCTGGTCTAGCAATCTGCTTCATGTTTTCTCTGCTACCGCTAAGGTACTCCTCAAACTTCTGGACATCAGTCAACTGCTCATCCTACTCCTTATTGCGTTTATTTCATCCTGTATTAAATTTTTCTCTCCTTCTGCTGTAAAGATGGTTTCTGTCAATTAACTGTGCAGTCTTAGCTCTTTTATTTTGTTGGGGGGGCTTGTATTTTTTTATGAAAGTTGCAAGACAGTCACAGGTTGGTTAGGAGAAAAGCCTGTGAATGGTGGTGGGAAAGCAGCATCACGTACTTGCTTGCTCTCGCTGTCTGGGTAGGTAGCCCTCTTGTCTGTGAAGCTTGTTTGTGTTTTATCTTCAGGAACCAAAGAGCTCTAGCAAATAAGCTGGGAAAGGTTATTAAGAGCAGTTAACACCGAACAACTTAGTGCATTTATTTTATAAGACTATGCAGGCCTGGAAAAAGGTGGTCAGTTTGCCACGGCTAAAACTTGGATCCAGTGAGGTTTAATTGCCAGGGGTGAACAGACTGGGAAGTGGAGTCTAAAAGGTTTGGACAGAATCAGCCCCACTGTTGTTGATGTTTGATATACTGTGTTCATCTATGTTAAAAAAATATAATTCTAGCAAGGTTTCACTGATAACTGAGGTGTCTGGTGCAGGGCTAGTTGTTTTTGGCAGGTTTTAGCAACCAACAGTTAAATCACGTGCAGCAGTAGAAGGCAGAAGCGGACGAAAATGGTTTGTGGAAAAAGAATTCTGTATATTTTGAGGGTAGAGTTTTGGACATTTTGTTTAACTTCATATCCTTTTTTCACCGTTTGACCTCAAAAGACCGATAAGGCTCAGGGAAGTAATAGAGGAAAAACAAACAAAAAAATAATTGTTTGTCCCTTGTCAATGGCAAGGTTCTGTTTAACTACTTCAGTCTTCTCTTCCTTCTTAGTATGTCTGATCAGCCATCCTATAATGCTGAATGTTGTCATGCTCTCGAAATTATACATAAAGCATTCTGTACTGTTTTGAGTTGATATTTATTTATTTAACAATTGTGAAGTTTCTGTGACCAAGTATCATAACTGATACATTATTTTGGCATCCTTTTTACTTTGGTTTGGTAGCAAAAGAAGCAATATGGTTTATGTCAACTTCAGCTGAGTGGAGAAGTTGCCTAGTCTAGTCTGGATTTCAAAGGGGTATTTTCCTTTCATTTTGTGCAGTATTCTCCATGGTTTTTGAGCACAGACTGTTAAATCTACAGATGAAATGGAGCTGTGATATATTGCTTTTCTGTTCAGTCTTGCTTGTCTGTTTTTTCTGACTCCAAGACATGGCTGAGTTTGTCTTCAGTTGGTTACGTTCTTTTCTGCTGCCCTTGTGTATTTTCAGCCAGACTTACCTGGCAGTACATTTATCAACACCTTTCCACCAAAACGATAGCAAGCTTTTGAAAGAAACTTGTGTTGAGCTTTTGTTCTCCCGAAACCTTTTTTTTTTTTTTTTTTTTTTAAAGTAGAAATTTATAGCAGCCACATTCTCCTCTTTGGGGTCTTTTGGTTTGAGAATTTGGGCAAATGAGAAGAAACTGTAGAAGTTTTGTGATTAGGACTGAGGGCTCTGATCTGTTTAGAGTAGTCATGGTGAATTATTTACTATTTTTATTGAGGTGTATTTCTTGCTGTGTGACTGTTGGCTGAAATGAACTGACTGAACAAAGTTTTGAAAAGAGGCCCGGTACTGGTATTCAGTTTTCAGACCTCAGAAACTTTAAATTTTTGATCTTTTTCCATTTTATTTCTCTTTCATCAAAGTGATGGATTATGGCATATGTGTAATTATACCATGAGGAAAAAAATGCATTGGTCTAATAACTTAAGCATCTGAATTTCCATTATGGTATACTTCAGTTTAGGGTCTTCCCTCATACTTTGAAGAACCAGCAATTAAATCCTCTGTGGCATGTGAGTCTAGAGATGCACTCCAAGGAAGGAGGAGGATGAAACCTAATGAGTCTTAGATGCAGTATGTAGATTTACAAACACCCTCTGGGAAAACTGCCATAGCTAAGGCTGTTCAACAGCTCATCCTGATGTAAGTGATTAATAGTAGCCCATAAAGTAGGGAGAGTTGGGGGCCTGTGTTGTGTACTCACTTGCCTTCACAGGCCAGTTCGAGACTAGCACTTATCCTCAGAGGTACCAAAAGCAGCCTAATTATAAACGTCCTCGTTTAAAGGATCATCTGAGCAAATCTAGAGAGGGTAGTACCAGAGCCTGGTAGTGAACACTGATATGCAGCACAGAAGACCAGCAACCAGGAGAGTCAATTGTTACTTATTAATGTTTGACTTTTAGAAGGTACCAGCCAAAGTTTTCTTGATGTTCCCTGGTCTTCTGTTGATTGCTAACTCTTAATTAGGCAGCTCTTTGTCATCACATCTCTTAAGATTGTTTTCCTTGTGACTAATAAGAAGTGAGTAAGTTGTGTCTCTGTCTCTTCTTTCAGGAAAGAGTAATTAACCATGCAGCTGGCAGCCATGGGGTGTCAGGCATATTCATGAAATATGATATCAGTTCACTTATGGTGACGGTGACAGAAGAGCACATGCCTTTTTGGCAGTTCTTAGTGAGGCTCTGTGGCATAATTGGGGGAATATTTTCAACTACAGGTAACTACCAGTGCTTTCTCTCTTAAGTTCTACCGGATATGTTTTTGGTCGTGGTGATTGTTACGGATAAATTAGAGGGGAGTCCTGGATCTCCAGCAGGCTTAAGACTAAGTGACCGTTTGTGTGCACTGAAATGTGCAATGAAAGCTACTAATGTTTGGTGTCCCAGTGTGACATTTCTGCTGTTCTGAGGGCCTGCTGTTTCCTTTTTGATTACTCTGGCATAGGTTATTTACTTCTGGAAGAGCAAGGAGATAGATATAGATATATATCTATACACACACACACTGACTTCTGATATTCTGTGTATTTTGTGTAGCTGGGATCCAGTGCTAAATCAGAACCAAAAGTTGAGATAAAATCCCATCTAAAGTAATTGAGAGGATTTTCCTTGTATAACTTGTCACGTACTGCAAGATTTGCTCCTTCTAAAGGAAATAAACTAAGTTGAAAAGACACCCTATTATGTCTTGACTATTAAGTAAATTGTATCTTGATTACAAGTTATTTCTTTTCTTGGCTTTCACTTGAAGAGAGCATAGTAAAGAGACCTTGAACTAAAAGCTCTCTTTCAAAGTAGATATTTTTGGCCCACAGAAGGTATTTTTACCTCTAAAAGCCAGGCAGAGGGAATTAGAATTGCTTGGATAGCTTTGGGTTTGCTTTTATCAGCTCATTTTAGAATGTTAGAATTCCCCCTGCCCTTATGTTTCCTTTTTTGTGTTGATTTCTCAGTGTTTTACATACCGGTTTACTGCACTGTATCCCATTTAACTGCTGTGTAGAGTTTTCTTGTAATACTTCTGTGAATATTACAGTTTTACTACTTGTGACAATTTAAATCGCTTGACATTGCAGGAATTTTACATGGCTTTGGAAGATTTGTGGCAGAAGTTATTTTTTGCCGTTTCAGACTGGGCTCTTACGGATCCACATCGGTAAGAAAAGCTTCCTCTGAGTATGCAACAAGTGGTGTGGCTACCTGAGGATGGGTGACAAGGACAACTCTGGGACTGGGTCCCAGCAGAATTTAAGATGCTTGCAGTAAACCCCTCACCTTTAACATATATATGAGCTTTTAAAAACAGTTGGGAAACCTAACACGTATGGGAGCAAGGTGTTTTCTAAGAGGCTGACTTAACGAAACCAAGTCTCTTAGAGATTTCTCTGCTAGGTACCCTCCATTTTCCTTACTATATTATTTTTATTTTCATAGTACTTCAAAAATTACCTGTTTTCCCAGGCCTTGTCAGTCTCCCTCACATCATCTTCTGCTTGTCCTGCTGACTGAAGGAGAGGCCCCGTGTGCTCCTGGCCTTCAGTGTGGCAGCTGATGAGCCTGCAGGCCACTGCCCAGCAGCGGGAAAGAGCTGGGCAGTCTTTACCTTTCCCTTCATTGGGCATGGATAGGATTGCTCCTCCAGCAATGTCTTGATTTTATATTACTTCTCTTTTTCCCGTTTAAGCCTGTCGATAGCCTTTCAGACTTCTACCTTTCTCTCAGGTTTGGTTGAAGTTTGCCAGCTGGCAAGGCTACGTGAGTGTGGGGAGAGGAGGGAAGGCAAACAGATTTGTGTAACTTCTGTTTGGAAGAGCAGGCAAAAGGCACACAAGAAATGCCCGAGAATAAAGAAGTGTGTATTTTGGGGGAGGGAGGGGAGATTCTGTTTCTGGACAAGCCATTCATAACACTTTGGTTTTGTTTGATAGGTCCCACTTCCTGATGGCCACACAAGCAACCACTTACCTCGAACTACGGACAATAGTACGCATTAGCCTCCTGAGAAAACCTTCTTTCTTCCTGCCTGACACAGAAGACATTTTTTTATAATAAAGAAAACATTGTGCAATATGCTGAGACAGTGCTGACGGGCAGCAAAAAACGAAGCCTTTACAAAAAAAAACCAACCAACCCACCAACAGCAAAACAATTTGTGTAATTTTTTGTCTTTCTAAGTGCACATGGAGTCACAGGAGGGTGTGAGACCACTGAGGTGGACCATCTTCTGGAGATTACAGGAGCGTTGCCACCAGTACAGTATTCATGGTTGCGCTGAGTGTCTTGGTGATGACTGCCATCGGCCGCTGCAGCATCCTGGTGCTCTTGGGGAAGAGGGAGCCCTGGGAAGGCCGGCGGGCTCCGAGGAGAAGGAGTACATGTGGGATGTGTGGAAGAGCCGGGCAGAGGCAAAGAGGGACAGAAACAGAGCTGGGCTTTCTCTTGGGTGTACGGACTGCGGTTTGGGTTTCCTTGTTCTTTTGAAATGGTGGGGCCGGGGGCTAAGGTGCTGTCCTTACAGGTGGGTAGCAATCCTAGAAAATCCTGAAGAAGAGGGAGAGGAGAGAGAACTCAGGGAGTAAGGTGGAGCCCAAGCCATAATGTTGGTCGTAGCCGCTGCCTTTCTGTAGTCCCCCCTTTCCTTAGTGAGAGGAACGTGACGCGGAGCAGAGGAGTTCCTCTGTGTTTTCACACAGCCACTTGGCCAGCAGTGAGAACCTCGCTCCTGGGGTTGGCCTGGAAGTGCCCAAGGACTCTGAGAACGGGCACCGGTGTGCACAGCTTTGTGACTTGGAATAAGAAGCCTTTTAAATAAGGCATTTGACTGTAGTTTTGATAAAAGGCAAGACTCCCTAGCAAAAGATCAGGAAATCTTTGTATGCCTCTTTCTTGGTAAAGAAATTGCTTTGATGGAACCTTCCTTGTTGTCCTGCTGCTGGTATGGAAGCCCTGGTATGCAAATCCCAGAGATGGGGAGGAAAAAGAGCAAGAAGCTGCCTTGTTTTGGTTCAGCTAAATACTGCAGAAATGTAGAGTTTGGGGCAGTTGGGAGGTCTGCTGGCCCAGGCAGGGAGCGGTGGCATTGGTAGTAGGTGACTTCAGGGAATCTGAATAATTTTGCTGCAGGCAGGTGATTTAAAAGGATCTGCAGAACTAATCCTTATTGTTCATGAAGGTTTTTGTAAAATAAATGAAGAGAGCAATATCAGTTTTATATTGTAAATATGCTACTGAGAATGAATGTTATTACGCAGATGGTGCTTTGAGAAACTAAACATTCTGTCAGTGCTGAACTACTGGTGTACACCTGTAGTTAAACAGTTGCTCCTCCCAGGGGTAAAAAATTAATAATATGATTCCTTCTCAGCAAAACTGATTTAATAATATATTAGGAGATGATGCTGACCCTGGCCTTACTCGCCATGGAACGAATATTATAATTGAGAGGACTAATTATGGAAAAATAAAAATCTCTGTGGCGTTGTCAGATTTTGCTCACTTCTGTTAATGTACTTTAGAGGACACTTGGATCTTGGTGGTGAGCACAGTGTAAATAATGTAGGTGATTTGCTATGCAAAGCAAAGGGCTTCCTAAACTGAGACATTATGTGAAATAGTAAATAAAATGTGGGAAATAGGGAAAGACCTTTGTTCAGTTCAACGGTTGAGAAAGAAGTTGAAGGGAGCCAGGTCCTTGCGGTTGACAGCCAGGTCTACGGTTTTCTCTTTTGTGTTTTGGAAATAGGGAAAGACCTTTGTTCAGTTCGACGGTTGAGAAAGAAGTTGAAGGGAGCCAGGTCCTTGCGGTTGACAGCCAGGTCTATGGTTTTCTCTTCTGTGTTTTGTTGTTTTGTTTTGGTTTGGTTTTTTTTTTGTTTGTTTTTTCTTCCTGATTAAAACTCCAGCAACTTGAGAAACTCTTGTCCTCGGTGAGCAAGAAAATCAAGGTTTCTTCCCTACTTCTGCTTGGACTGGTTCTGCTTTGGGCTTTGTCCTGACACAGTTTCTTCTCCGCCTGGAACAGAGTGTGCTGGTGGGAGATGCTGGTCTCGGTTGACTTTCTGTACCAGAACTTAAATGTTATTTTCTATTCTCACATAAAAGAGCCAAGCGGCTTGTTGTGTCTTAAATCCTTGTGTGGTGTATTCGTGGCGTTCTCTCTAGAGCGAAGCTTGTGGGACAGCTTGGGGCTAATGGAAGAAAATTTGGGATTGACTTCCAGGTGTGAGATGCTGCAGTGTGGGGTGAACACGGGATCAGCTGAGCCCGTGCTGCTGGGCTGTTTGCTCACAGAGGGTTTGGTTGTAACTGCTGGTACCACTTCAACCCTGTACCACACGTTATCATTAGCCTAACGAGTATGTGCAGGGTGTTCCAGGGAAAATAGTAGTTTATTGCAGTGACCTGCATTTATTTACGTGGGTAGAAGTGAGTGTAGTATGGAAAAATGAAAGGCATGGGTGTCCCAAGGGAAACAAACCCTGATGTTGATGTGATGTGTGTTTTCTGAAAGGGGGGATAGTAGATGAAAAATACCATTTTTCTGGGTCAGGAAAGATGGTCAAAATTAATGTGTTTTAATCTTTGTCTTTTTTGTGATGTTACAGAGACAGAACACGGGAAGAAATTCTTAACAGTAACAAGGTGTGTTCACAGCATTGCAGACTGCTCTGCCTCCCCTGTCCCCTCACTGTCCTGGGCAAAAAAGTTGTCCCTGCTTCCAGCTGGCACCACTTGGGTTTTGCTCTCATGGGATGTAGGTTCTGTCAGCAGGAGCACGGTGCCCTTGGGTGCCTCCAAGACCTGGGGTGCTGTGCCTGGATGTGGCTGTCCTCCAGCCCCTTGAGCTGAAAGCCAGCGCCAGCCCCGAGAGGTGGGGAGGGGGTGGGAGCTCAAGGAACCCGTGTTTCTCAAGTAACTCCATGGACTTTAGGGCTCAGGAGGAGACACTGAGCTGGGTGGGTTTTTAACAGGACGGAGCACCTTCGGCCCCGTCGCCTGTGAGGCAGAATTGCACAAGAACTTGCTGTAAAATCTCTGTGTTGAGGTGACACACTTCACTGCTGTGTTTCTGGGTGTGTGCTGCACGATATTGCTAGGTAGAGGAAGAAGAAGGTGAGGATGGAGCCAGCTGTGGCACCTGCAGGAGTTGAGTAAGGGCAACTGCTTGCCTTGTGGTGTGGCAGGGGTCGGGACGGGCTGTTGGGTGGGCAGGGGAGGCCGTGCAGGGCAGGAACCTGTGCAGGGGAGGAGGCAGCAGGAGCTGAGCCAGCAGGGAAAAGCTGGAGATGGGATCAGACCCCACACTTGTGAGGGAGAGTTCTTGGGGAGGGGAATTGATCATGAGCTGCTGTAAGGGCTGAATTGATAGAATCACAGAACAGTCTGGATTGGAAAGCACCTTCCAATCCATCAAGATCATGGAGATCCAACCCCCCTGCCCTGGGCAGGGACACCTCCCACTAGAGCAGGTTGCTCAAAGCCCCATCCAGCCTGGTCTTGAACACCTCCAGGGATGGGGCATCCACAGCTTCTCTGGGCAACCTGTTCCAGTGTCTCACCGCCCTCAGAGTGAAAAATTTCTTCCTGAGATCTAATCTAAATCTCCCCTCTTTGGGTTTGAAGCCATTATGTTTCATCCTGTTGCTACATGGCCTTGTAAAAAGTTCCTCTCCAGCTTTCTTGTAGGCTCCCTTCAGATCCTGGAAGGCTGCTGTAGAAATCTTCTAGCTGAGTGCTGTGCTGTGCTGCGGTGGCTGTAGGTGAGCAGTGTGCTGGGGGAGGCTGTGAAGTCTGGCTGTGAGGGATGCTGGGGTACGTTGTGGCTGCTGCCTTTGTGCTGCCTGTTGCTCTGTGTCTCTTACCACCTTCTCTGCTGCGTGTATCGGTGCTTCTTGCAGGACAGACCATGAGAAGAGAGTGAAATGGGTGTATGAACGGAAATTCCCCTACTCCAGGCTCTCTTCCCTCTTCCCCCCTGACTTTCCTAGCAGATGTCCTGGGGCTCGGGCTGGCCGGGAGGTGAGGAAGAAACGTGTGTGTGTCAGTAGCAGGAGAGGGGTCAGGTTAGCCCATGTAGCAGACTTTCTTTAAAAATAGCAAAACCAAGCTGCTCTTCCCTCCCCGGAAATTGTCATCCTAGAAATTGGTGGGTAACTTGAGTTTGGAAGAAAATTGAGCTGTTTGCATCTCAGAAGCTCCCTGGTGGGGACCCGTGTGGTGGGTGCAGTGCCCGCCCTTCCTCTGCGGTGCTGGCTCTGCCCTGGGGGCCTGTTTGTGTGCGTGGGGTGGTCCGTGGTGAGACAGGGGGATGTTCTGGTGGAGTCAGTCCTGCGTGGGGTGGGCAAGGACTCTCCCTCCTCTGCCTCGTGCCCCCTGAGATCCTGTCAAGGTTCTCAGGGAGTGATTTGACAAGCTGAGCCCTCAGCAGTCAGCGCAGTTGCTTAGGAACGGGCAGATACCTGTTTGCTGTAAATGCACTGTCATTGACTGTGCAGACAAACCCAAGGTTGTCTCTTCTTGCTGTCTGGTTCTCTGGGAGAAGATCGGGTGCTGAGGCTGTCCTGTTTAACCCGTTACTGCTGCAGGGACATTGAAGCAGGAGGGATGTGATCGCCTTGGTCCCATCTCCGGTGGCACTGATGACACTAAAACTCCCTGCTCTCTGTTTCTTCAGAGGTAACCAAGTGCCGCAGCTTTTTTTTTTCTGGGAGACATTAAATGAGAACAGCTTGTCTGGGGAAACTTGCAAAGATCTCCATCTGTTTTTTTTAAAAGGCATCCCAGAAGGTGTGGGTGGGGGAGGATACATGGAGACACATCACAGACCCAGATTGGTGCTTCCTTCCAAAGTTACTTCTCATAAAGACACTTTTTTTTTTTTTTTTTTTTGTCCTACCAACACTTAGTTAATGCAAATCGTGTCTAGTATTTGGCCTTGCCGGTGGTCTGTTGTGTCCAGAAAATATCCTTGCCCGTGTATAAAGTGGGTGTTACAGTAGTTAATGCTTCAAGGAGCCCTAAGGGACTCCCTGTGCTGCTGTGGGTGCCCTGGCAAAGGTTTGTCACTGTAG